TCACTTCTCATTATCAATTGTTACAAATGTCTGCTGATGCGACTTCTGTGAATTTGTTGTTGCATTAAGACAATACCCCCTAGCAATCGATTTCTTTTATATTTCCTATCTGAATTACTTCATAAGTCAAATTAGTCCCGCATTTTGATTGGTTCTTACTTATGATCTACTGGAGGACAGACGTATAGACGTACAGACGTATAGAACATTTTCCTTATGAAATAATTATAAAACAAATAGATTCCATGTTGCCGTGCGTCTGTTCAGTAATAGATCACAGAAGACGTCAATATGTGGTAAGAACATCAGTGACACACTCGGCTATCGCCTCGTGTGACCCTTCTTTTGTCTTTATCACATTTTGACGTCATCTGTGATCTTTTACTAAACAGACGCATGGTAACATGGAATCTATTTGTTCAGGAGATATTAGATATACAGAAGGTGTAAACACCCACCATGGGTCCTTTAGTTTTGGACGGCACTGGCTCCAGATCTTTAGATTTGGTTGGTGTTTTCTTTTCATCCTCTTTGACTTCAGAGTTTTCTTTCTCCAGTTCTTCTTTGGTTTTATCTCTCTTCTCGTCACTTTCCCCGGCTTCGCTAGCTTGTTTTTCTTCTATTTTGTTGGGATCTTCGCTGTCTATTGTTAAGAAACAGAAAACAAGGTCACTAGATATTTCTGGAATACTTAGAAATGACCAAAGCATCAGAAGTAACAACTGGATTGAGTGGTCGTCCAAATTTCATTTATTATTATTATACTGGAATGTTGGAAGCTTTTACCTCTTAAAATTAGAACTAGTTCTGAGCTGGATGTTAGAGATACCTTTCAAAACAATTGTATAAATTCAACTGGAAAACTGAGAAATTCAATTCCTCCGTAGGAAAAAAGATGGCGACTGATACATTTACCCATAATTCTTAGCGCACGAAAACTTAAACGACACTCATAAAAACGGACAGAAAATTTCTAACATCTGCTAACCCAGCATAGACTATGTCGTTAGCACAGGAACAAATATTGCAAAAATATGGCTTTCCTTGTACTTTATGGGCTGTGTAAGGCTCGCATGGTATGTTGCTAAAATATACAACCGCCATCTTTTTTCCTATGGAGGATTCACAACATCGTAACAATCTTTCAGTTGAAATAAGTATTCTGATCTTGCGTTCTATATTAAAAAAAACCCACAGCCAGCGTGAATCTGACTAAGCGAAACCTACTGGAATGTGCTTGTCGATCATAAATGTCACTGGCTGCCTAATCTAACACCCTTCAAATCAGTTGACAACAACATGTAATTCTTAATACCTTTCACTTCCCCAGTCCCCTCTTCAGGCGCGGATGATTGTGGCGTGGCAGCCCCAGAAGTCTCTGAGGGTTGGTCTTTACTCTTTCCAGTCTCATCTTGGATGCTCACCTTCTTGGAAGAGACGTCTTCATTCTTAAAGAACAACATTAAAGGAGCTACGTCACGATTTGCGCATCTTGAAAAGTGAAGCTTAAAGTTCGTTGTTTGTAATCCGTGTTAATCTTCTCCATCCTTAACCATCCTTGTTCCCTTATGGTTTATTATTATCTCTTTGGTGTTTTTCTATCTTAGTAAACTACTATTTTCAGGGTTCCTTCAATTTAAAGTTAATTTCCTACGTGACCGGGCTACTTTGAATAATGTCAATAATGCATTACAGCTAGAAAGCCACACAACATTGTTGAGGTAACAGTGCTTTTGTTTGTTTGTTTGTTTTTCTGTCAGTCTTTCGGTCAGTTTGTTTGTTTATTTATTTGTTTGTTTGTTTGTTTGTTTCCGCGATTCTTTAACGGGGGACTGGCATTACAGCTGATTAGAAAGTCTAAATAAAAGAGCAGTAAAGAAAAACAGGAACAAATGTCCTACTTGTATGGTTTGTTCTTCTGGAGGTTCTTCAATACACTCGTTGTTTTTAAAAGCCTCTACAGCATCAGCAACAAGATCATCAACAGACAGTCGCACCATTCGATGACCTGAATATAATAAGACGAGCGCAATAAGATAACATTTAAATTAATGCCAAAACACAAGAAAACAGCAACAAAAGATATTTATTTATATATATGTTTTTACCAAAAAATGGTTACTGTAACGTAGATATGAACTATAATTAACAGATAAGCTGGTAACTGAGCACTTAAAATATTAAACGTTCATGACAGGTGGCCACTTTTTCCCATAGTTAGGAATTGTTATTTATGTAAAAGATATCCAGTCAGGTACCCCACACAGGTTACGTTACCATTCACTGGCAACAATACATATTAAAACACATTAGTTCGTATTGTTAGCCAGTAGAAAGCCTTTCTCTCATTCTGACTTCTCGAACTCATTAATAATTCATCAATATCTGATCTTAATTAGCATAGATGTTTACGACTTTATTTCTCCGTTTTCTCCTTAGTTTTAGTTTCGATTGAGAAGATATATCAAACACTCAAGACAGTGTTTGACCACATTTCCAACCACCTCGAAGTTCGTCAAAAATACTCCGCTACGCGTCGTTTTTTCAACTCTCTTCTCGGTGTTTGGGAATGTGGTCAAACACGGTCTTTCGTATTTGATATATTACGTGAAGCGTGATTAATAATAGTAATAGGACTGAGTGGAGTCCAATTCGGTCTGTAAACATACGAGTGATTNGATCAGAAGGTAAGACACATGCCGTGCCTAGTCGGTAGAGCGGCTAGCTAATCGGACATTCAACTTGAATTAACAGTAAACAGTGGCGCTAAGTCTAATATACAACACTCAGTGCTAGTTTTCACAGAGTGGAACACGTGAGGAATACTTCTCCAAAAAAGAATTTTAAATCGAACAAGTTACAAACTAGGCTCGCCCCAGGCGCCCGATTAGTAAACGACGTACGCTTTCCATTCAAAGATTTCTTTGATATCAAAGTCACCCTAACAAAAGTTTGTAAAACTCTCTTTAAAAAAACTCTTATTATACTAATGACTCGAAGCTAAACGAGTCAAATGTCCAAACAAATGACGAGGGTACTCACCATCAAGAATTTTATTAATGGCTGAAGTTTTACCACTGAAGAACTTCCCAAGAAAACACACCTTGATTGGAAACGGTGGAAACTCCGGTGGAGGAGGGGGAGGCTATAAACCAAAAAAAAAACAGCTTCAACCTGAAATTTGTGACTGATTTTGTTGATTTGCCGTGGCAAAAAAAACACAACAACTACAGAACTCGACTTCTAATTTCCATACTGTTTTCCCCTCTTTTCACGTATTTCTCAGTACCTGACTTTTTTATTTCACTACCCAAACCTAGCGCAGTTGACTTTCGCGGTATTTGTTACTCGTTAAAAACACCATTTCATAACACTTCAGCTGTGTTACCCTGTAAAATATTGGGTTTGTTCGAAAAATCTTTCTTTCTTGTACAAGTCTTTGCAGATCAAGCACCATGTACTCTGCAGCATCGCATACATATTTAGAGCTGTAGTTATTTCCATATTTANGTCAACAATTGCTGTGATAACATCACTTGTAGTTAAAAGGCTTGAGTACATGTATTATCTTCCATGTAAAATTAATTATAATTCGATTATGTTAGTCCTTTTCAAATAAATACAAATACAATACAATGAAATCGCGATTTTTCGAGCCTCCACGGCTGACGAAAATCAGTACGAAAAATTGGGAGGTGCGAGAAATCGAGGGTAAAATTTCACCAACTGTATGTCAAGGAAGCAAAAAAAAATTGCTTCCGGTAATCGAGAGGTTTAAAAGACCGGGAATTCCTCTTTATTTCAGCAACTACCCTTTTTATCGGATAAGGAGCTTGATGAAAGGAACTTGCCTCCCAACAGATATTGTAGTGCTTGTTGTACTTTGCTTCTGCAATCTCAGCTTTTATTTTATCATGTAATTCCTGGGCTTTTCTTGTTTCCTCTGCATATTCTATTCTAGCTTGACGACATAGTTCCTGTTGAAAAAGTTAATCACGATGTTAGTAGCAAGAGAATCATACGAATAACAAATTGCACACTCAGGTTGCACACTAGTCTGATTCTTCAAACCACATGAAAAATACTTCACGACTCAGAAACATGAGCTTCGAAAGTTTGCGAACACTGAAAGAAGACAAACGTCCAACGCGAATCCTAATGTGGTTGCTCTGAATCTTTTTAGTTTCACTCGAACTGATATCTCTTGAGGTCTTTAAATGACCAAGGGAAATCGTTATCTACAAAGAACAGTTCATCATGCAAGTCTCTCTGACAGCAAGGTACAGACATGGCCTGCTGATTACCTTAAAAGTTTTTTTAAGTTGTCTTAGTGGAATAAGCTTTGCATATGATAAAACAAATTTCCCCTTACCGCTTCTCTTGTTAGTGCATCATCAAAGTCTTTCAACCTTCTTTCAGCATATTGTTTTTCTCTAAATATCCTTTGAGAAGAAAAGTATGAAGAATAAACACAAAAAGTATTTCACAAAGTTTTACAGATTATCCTGCCCTCAGACACAAACGGATACCCGCCTGTTGAATCCGGATGCCAAAGATAATTTTCTGCGGCGTGAAAAACCAGCGGGGACTCTTTTGCGCTCGCAGGGTACAGATTATGAAGCTAATTTAATAAGTGATTTGTGGATCCAATGATTGTTATTTCCTATTATTATTATTATTATTATTATTATTATTATTATTATTATTATTATTTAACCATTTATAGTCGTTTATCAAGACCATGTGTATTAGCTTGTTGGTATATTCTTCAGTTAATTCTCGTCACATGTTTACTAGTAAACGTATTGTTACTGCTATGAGAAATTAACTGCTCATCACGCGAGTTAAAGCAACCCACCTGTTTTGTCGAATGACTTCCTTTTCGTGACGAATCTGCGTTAAATTAAAGCGAAAATAATGTTGTTTGAGATTTTGATACAGGAGCAATAAAAAGTGCAGTTGATGTGATGTTGATGTGTTAGGCAGAACACATGTTCTGTGTCAGTACATGTATGTCATAAGTTCTTTTTTTTCACGAACAGGCAACATGACCTATCCTGATGGTGTCAAAGTCACGTGACCACGTGTGTAGTGTTCCCGTTATTTTGCTTGGCAAAAAGAATCAGACGCTTCTCGGTCACTTTAACGAGGATTTGCGAAGAACAGCGAATAGGTTTCGTTGATTTTGTCGCTTTATGACAATGCCTTCCTGCATTAACATTACATAACAAACGCTAACCTGCATGAGTTGAACAGCGATCCTTCTCTCTTGCTGTGATTGCCTCATTAGTCTGTTAACAAGCATCTCTTCACGGTGAGCTTCCTGAAATAATAAAGCAAGTTCCCTTTTATACTTGACGCCAACTGAACGGGGTTTAACACTAATATTCCAACATAATTAAGATTTTAATTAAATTCTGACTGTGCGTTGTTAGGTGGTGTACAAGACCAGTAAATCAGTTATACCGAGCAGAAATCTCTGAGTCAACACTAATCTCCCTTGAAGAATGCTATACCACTGAGTATAATTTGTTGGTACATTGTCCCTATAATCCTGGCCAAAGGTCCTTGTACACGTTTGACCAGAAGGATAACTTTTTTTTCACCCGGTCCAGTGGTCTAAAATTCAATTAATACCAATCCATAATTTAATTTTACGGATTGTGGGGACAAGGAGATCACAATGCCACATCTGAGGCACAAACCCGTATGACTCACTCCGTTGTCCACACTTATACATCACATTATAGACAAGACTGCCATTACAACACAATATGATTATTGTATGTGTTCGGTATTACCTCTTGAGCTTCATGAGCTTTCATCTGCTCAATCAAAACCCGCCTTCTTCTCTTTTCTCTTTCCTGTTAATAAAGGACATTTGAAAAATGTCACCAACATTTTATCAACACTTTTGTAATTTTTATTCCATTTTACAAACCCCGTCAGACTATGAAAACCTCATTACAAGTACCAGAACTATCAAGATGCGATTCTTCCAGCGAGCGGCTCAAACGTTCACTGCAATCGTGGTTTTAAAGTTTGCATACGAGCCTAGAGGCCCATCCGCTTATCTCCGGTTTCAGTACCATAAAATGACTAGGAGTATTTCTAATACCTCCCCCCACCCGGATGGGATGCTAGTCCATCACAGGGTTACCCCCAGCATTAAGTTCGCTGGTACCCATTTATAGACCTGGGTAGAGAGAGGTACTGTGAGAGTTAAATGTCTTGCCCAAGACCACAACACAATGTCCCCGGCCAAAGCTCGAACCCAGACCGATCGATCAAGAGTCGAGCGCAATAACCATGAGGCCACCGCGCCTCTTACTAAAAAAATTGTGACTGTGTGTATTTCTAATTAGCCTTACCTTCCTAGCGACTGAGTCTTCTTCCAGTCTTGTCCTGATTTTATTGATGTAATCATCATTTGACCTGGGCTAATAAAAAAAAAGGACAGACAAAACTTGCAGCCGCTCTGCCGCAATACCTCAGCTTGAGTTATAACGGTGGAGCCGCTTATAATCCTTCATAGCTGTGTATTATGTAGAAAACTAGGGCCTATCAGTAAGAGATCTCTTCAGATTTTGTATCATTTAGCAAATAGTGGTAACTGACACTCACAAGTACATCGCTTGTAAAGGTTATCTTAGTTTATACATAACTCTATTGTCCATGACAGTCATCTGCCGTCCTCAGCCAAATCCTCGCCTGGGGATTAGACTGAGGGCGGGAGATGACTGACATTTCAGGCTAAACTCTAATTTTCACGTACTTTAATATAAGACAATGGATCCACCGGTTTCTTTGGAGATTTTGAGCTAAGGAATGCGTCAATTTCGGCATCCACTTCTCGGTTAGATTCCCTAGAAACAGAAATCGTACAACAAATTAAAAAATCTTCAGTTACGTACACACAAATTCTGTTACACAGCGTGACTGTAACTGTGGTCTGTTTGTGTGAAGCCATCTGTTTGTTGCAAAGAATCGACTATGTTTCATTTCTTTATGAATGCAAAGAACCCTCGAAATTTGCGAAATAGTATTTCTACGATAAACCATACTTGTCGAATAACTAGGTCACAATGAATCAAAATAAGCCATTGCTTTGCACGTCTAAGCCGAAGAAGGCCAAAGATCTTGAATGCGGTCTGCACGTCTCTCTGAGCAAGTTTTCATAAACGTTACGTTACACTTTGGTCAAGTCAGTGTCTGACGTGTAACATGTAATCATAAGCAATCAAAACCACTGCAAGTAATTCATCCATACAGCTTCGTTATAAATATGGACAAGAGAGAATGATCTCTTGAAAGAGACATCAAGTCACTTTTGTATGTGAAGAGAAACAGCTAGTTAACACCCGATCAAAAAGACATGCTTGCTTGATCTTAAAGAGAGTCTTGGCTGGAAAGCAGTTTAAGTTCCAAAGTATACCTAATGGTTCTCTTCAACTGATCCTGGGGTCCTAGGTTGATATCTCTGTAAGTGGTTCGAATACGAGGTGTTGGGTTTTCAGTTGAAATCACCTGGGCGTCGCCATGTTTACTTTACAGTGATTTTGATTTTGCGATTTTGAATTATAAACGATTGATTGACAGCACTTTAATATCACTAGATTCACGTAATCGCGTGATCGTCCAATGACATCATAATTTCCCATCAAGCTTTGTAAAAACGAACATGGCGGCGTGCGGGAAATTTGATATCCCAAATTAGCAGAAGCGAAACGCCCAGCATTCAAAACAGGCAAAGAACCGACGACTTCAAATCGCTGAAACAGTGAAACACAAACATCAACTTCTCATTTGGAACCAAAGTGTCTTTCAGCCAAGATTTCCTTTAAGACATAAACTACAGCCGCTTTATCATACTCCACCTCATTCACAATAGTTTATTAGAAGCTGTACTTACCCTTCAATCCCTATTGGACTAGCTGGTGGAATCACAGCCCTCATGCTTGCTTCAAATGCATCAATGCTTTCCTTCACCTCCTATAAATAGCAACAATACACCTAGTTTCACGTGATCTTTTTGACTCAGCAGTCCTGAAATTTACAACTAGTGCCCAAAGAACTTTGACAGCTACATGTTAATCAACTTTTCAGTCACTGGGGATATTTGCAGTTAATAAATTTTAAACTTGGGTGCATTATACGTAAAACAAAAATGTTTTGGGCATAAGATAACGATCCAGATACCAGATATTCAGATGCTTAATCATAGTGAATAACTAGATTCGCAATAAGCATGCTTTCTTCACTCTATTTAAGTTTCTTTGAATTTATTCATATCTATATGTTATTTTCATATACAATAGGAAACATATTCGAGGGGTTGTCTCCAAAGAACAAAAAAAAAAAGAAAATGAATAGAAAGGGGACGAGGGTCTTTCCAGACAAAAGAGTATAACACAGGAGTGTGATTTGATCAAAGTATTCAGCACTTGGTAAACTAAACGGTATTTAGATAACGGCGTTTACTACCTCTGCCTCCCTTTGACGTCGTAATTCAGTCCGTGATTTCGCTGATTTCTGGAAAATACAAAGAAATGATGTTCAGTGTAAACCCAAAGTCGTACGTGTTCTTTTTAAAGAAGTGGAGTTAGCTGGTTTGGTATGGATGTTATGATGACATGGTCTCTTCCTTTTTGTTCTAGAGGAAACATATCAAGCATAATCTGCTAAGAGATCTATCTAATTAATTTATTACACTTCCATAAGAAACAGTTTTGAGTGTTGACAATTACCACAAATGTCCGAAGGTAGANTAACACTGAAAGCAGGTATAAGGATTAGCGCACTGTTGGTTGGGTGGAGCGTTTGCTGTGGCTAAACAGTCCCATAACAGAGTATCATTATGATAATAATAATTTACATGTATGTACTACATTTGACAAACTTTCTCTGTACTGACCAAAAGTACTTACAGATTTTTTTCCTAGTGCTATAAAGAGTTGGTACATCAGTCTTGTAATCGCACTGTGATTCTCATTCATAACAGCCCGTGCCTACAAAAGTAGAAATGTTTCCACGTTCTTTTAATTCAAACTACAGTGTAATGATAGATTACTGTACGTGAAGTATGTAAAAGCTGGTTGTTTGGATGTTAAGCTAATTTTAGGAGCAGACAAGAATATTAGGGGTGGTAAATCTTACAATCTTTGGTTTTGGTTTAGTTCTTGTTAAGTGCCAGGTGCTACATTCGGGTTCGAGTTTCCTCAAAAAAGGTTCTTTTTTTCCTGATAGGAAGCAGCCATGTGGTTATGATCTGGTCTTCTAATTGTATACTGGTAACTCACATTATAAAATTAGCTTAAAGTTTATAAATGTTCATTTGGTTTTGTTAGTGACTATGATAATATCAATAAACTGGGTCTGTTGCTCGCCATGTGCTGGGTTAAGCACAGCAGTATGTTATCCAGCAGTCAGCTCCCACATTTGACAGTGACAAGTTGTGTGACATGTAAGTCATTGCCTATTTCGTGGAAGAGAGGAAAATTTGACTATGACTTTGTGTTTCATTTTCACAAAAGGTTATACATGTATTACAATGGCACTACAGTTGAAGAAAAATTGTAATTACCGCACATTAAATAATAGTTTGTATAGTGTGATCATCCGGATGTCAGGGTANCATTACTTTGAACCAAAAATCCAAATTTGAAGAAAATTGCCGATCTGAAGGTATACTGTAACCTTAAGTGCCAGGTGCTACATTCGGGTTCGAATTTCCTCAAAAAAGGTTCTTTTTTTCCTGATAGGAAGCAGCCATGTGGTTATGATCTGGTCTTCTAATTGTATACTGGTCACTCACATTATAGCATTCGCTTAAAGTTTATAAATGTTCATTTAGTTTTGTTAGTGGCTATGATAATATCAATAAACTGGGTCTGTTGCCCGCCATGTGTTGGGTTACGCACAGCAGTATGTTATCTAGCAGTCAGCTCCCACATTTGACAGTGACAAGTTGTGTGACGTGTAAGTCATTGCCTATTTCGTGGAAGAGAGGAAAATTTGACTATGACTTTGAGTTTCATTTCCCAAAAGGTTATACATGTATTACAATGGTACTACAGTTGAAGAAAAATTGTAATTACTGTACATTAAATAATAGTTTGTATAGTGTGATCATCCGGATGTCAGGGTAGTTCTGAAAAGAACTGTTATTGGTGACCGACGTTTCGGCATCCTGAGCGGAAGTCATCTTCAGAGTCAAGTGAATTGTTTTCATCAGTTGATGATGTTATAAGTCTGGTCCGTTGAACATGATTGGTCAGTTTAGCCATTATGGTATTGGCTGAAAGACTCGTGTAAAGTTTGTCATCAGTCATTGGTGGGTTTTGATCCGTTACCAACAGAAGACATCATGGACTTACTGAACCTTTGTCTTACATCAACTTACTTTCAGTATAACAGTAAACACTACAAACAGTTGCATGGAACAGCCATGGGGTCACCTGTTTCTGTTGTTGTCGCAGAAATTGTGATGCAACACGTGGAGGAACNTTTCTCCAAACCCATCAGACACAGCAGAGATATAATTAGCATCTTACTACCGTCGTCTTCTCAGTCCTTACAGTATAAGCTATGGATCCTCTTTTTCCCTCTCACCTCTCACTTTATGCCCTAATGTGCATAATTTGTGCTTGAGGCATAAATCAAAGAGGAGAAATACCTAGTCCATAACTTACAGTATGGACCTCATACATGGTTAGTAAGAAATACATAGCAAAGGAGATGGATGAACAGGATTTGAATAACAGTGTCTTACAGTAGATGAGTGATCTCAATTTCTGGCATTTATTGATAATTTATTTTAACAGGATTTATTATGGTGCTGGGCTTGACTGTAAATATTTAAACTTCATGTCAGTTACAAGACATGTTGTTTTTGTCACAGATATCCCAACATCAGCACACTTACGTATTCTGGGAGAAGAAGGAAAAATCATCTTGCAAGCCATGTTTGTTTAGTAGCTCTCCAAGCAAGTATCCTGTAGCAAACTCTTTAGCAATGTTTGTTGGATCTACATTGGACAAATGAGGAATATGTTTTAGGAAATGGTGCCACACTGAACAGCTGAACATATACCTGATTCAAGAACAGGATGGGGCAGTAGTGAGAACACTTGTCTCTCACCAATAAAGCCCAGGTTCAAGTACCAGACCCAGAGTAACACATACATGTGTGTTGAGTCTGTTGTTGGTTCTCATCCTTAATCCAATTTAAACATCAATCTGATTGATCATCAATCTGATTGGCAATCCATGATTCTGCATCAAGTGTTTTCTTGTGACTTCTCTTCCAAGTTAACTTTACGGATAATTCTCTTGCCCAGTTACAGTGACACCAACAACAAACTGTCAAACTTTGGTCTGCACCAGTTGTCCAAATGACAACAATGTAGTTGGTTTACAACAAACCTGGGAGTGGGTTTTACTCACAAGAATGCAGCGAAGGGTCATGTGTGACACATAATGAGGGCAAAGCAATCATTCATTTCTTAAGATGCTTGGCTCAGTCTCTGAGCCAAATCTGACACTCAGTTGTTCAAGTATTAGTGCCCCTCTTTGTGCATGTACATAACTGAAAATAGTTTCAAATATTTACATGTACAGACTGTATTTAGTCAACAAATATTAGGTAAATAGTATAGTTACAGTTAATCGTTGGTCTCATGGGAAACAGTTTTGCCTAATCCTGAGAATCTTGATGTTTCCCAAGACAAAGTCGAGGGAAACAATGAGATTCAAGCTAAGGTTAAGGTAATAAGTCAAGGAGAAGTCAAAGTAACCGATCAATGGTGATTGAAGTGGGTGACAATTGCTTGGTTCTTGCCCACCGCGAAACATTTAGATTTACCGGTACATGTAGCCATTGCCACTTGACTATAAATCTACCAATGGGAGCATGTGTTAGATTCAACTTTACTCAGGGCTCAAAGTTTATTTTTGGCTTTGGGAGCACTTGTGCGACCAGGTGTAAATTTTTAGGCGCACTGCCGCAATTTTAGGCGCAGAGTTAAAAATTTTAGGCACACAACTTCAAATACTTGGAGCACCTGGTCGAAAAGAATACTTAACGCTCCAAAAAGAGCGATTCAGGCTTCGTGTTGCAATATGGGCCTATTCTAGCAGTATTGAACACAACGAAAACAACTAAAAGAATCAGGATATTTCACACAAGGGTTATGCTTAGATATTAACTACCGACGTCGCTCCGTTGAGTATCCTCACTATCCAATTGCTTGTTGTTTGCCTCCCTTTGAAATTCTGTTCAGGAAGATTCTTGATTTATTCAACATCTG